AAAAATTTTTCCTGAACCAGGGCTTGAACTCAGGGGCTTCCAGCTCTAATTTGGCTTTTTTATTCATGGCTAGAGTTCACTTGATCAAGTTTAACTGCTAACTGGAGAGAATTTTCTACCTATGGCTGGATTATAACTATAATCATCCTCCAAGTCTGAGCCTCCTGAGTAATTGGAATTACAGACATGAGCCACCAGTACCCAAATCTCTCATTTCTAATATGAAGTGTAAAAGTTTAGATTTTAAATGTCTCACCAATGACCATGTATTAAAGGCTTGGCTCTCAGCTTGCTAATAATGAAAGATGGTGGAAATTTCAAGTGAAGGGGTCTAATAGTCTTTGGTTTGGGAGGTATGCCCTTGAAGGGGATTATAGAATCCTGTTTACTTCCTAATTTTCTTTTTCACTTCTTGGCCATAAGAGGAATAAGATTTTGTTGCTTCTGGAATTTGTTTTGTTTTGTGTTTGGCAGTTCTGGGCTTTAAACTCAGGGGTTGAGCTTTTAAGTCTGACACTTTACCACTTCAATTGGGCCTCCGGCCCTACATTTTTTGGTTAAAGATGTAGTCTAGCAAAGTTTTCTGCCTGTGCTGGCCTCAAACCACTATCCTCAATCTCAGCCTTCTGAGTAGTTTAGGATTACAGGCATCAGTCACTAGTGTCTGACTAATTTAATTCAACCATTGCCATATTTAGATATTAAAACGTTGACATGAAAATGTGTCCAAACTAGACATGGTAGCATATGCTATAATCCTAGCATTTGCAAACTTGAAGCACAAGGATTGCCATTTTAAGACCTACTGGACATATCAGTGAATTTGAGGGCAGCCCAGACTATACAAAGAGCTTATCTCAAAAAAGAAAAGGGGAAGGAGGATAAAGAAAAGACAAGCCGGGCGCCGGTGGCTCATGCCTGTAATCCTAGCTACTCTGGAGGCTGAGATCTGAGGATCACGGTTCAAAGCCAGCCTGGGCAGAAAAGTCCGTTGAGACTCTGATCTCCAATAAACCACTAGAAAACCAGAAGTGGCACTGTGGCTCAAGAGATAGAGCGCTCACCTTGAGCTGAAGAGGGCAAGGACAGTACCCAGGCCCAGAGTTCAAGCACCACGACTGACAAAAAAAAGAAAAAAAAGAAAAGACAATGTTGGACTGATTTATTGATAATGAAATAAATATTTAATCCATCAAAAAACACACTTAGAATTACACAGACAGCTTACACTTGTGATTCATATTTTATTTCTGCTAAACAGTATTAACCTAATGTTAAAATGCTGATTTTGGGGGGTCCACAAGATTCTGCTTTGGTTAGAGCCTAGAAATGTCCTGATTTTTTGCTTACCATGTTCCAGTTGATAAATCAAGATAAAAAAAAATTTTGAGCAAGTGATTGGTCAAAATTGCAGTGATTCAAAAATAATGTTGGATCTCATTTTCATTTACCACCCCATAATAGCCACATCTGTTTTTCAATTCACAAAACATACTTCAATGCCAGGCACCAGTGATTCAGGCCTGTAATCCTAGCTGATGCTCAGGAGGCTGAGAACTGAGGATCACAGCTCCAAGCCAGTACAGGCTGACTTGAGACTCCTTTTGTCCATCAGACTCCTATCTCATATTAATTACCAAAAAGCCAGAAGTAGAGCTGTGGCTCAAATTGTAGAACACAAGACTTGAGCAACAAAACTAAAGGACAGCATTCAAGTCTTAGGACCACGTGCACACAGACAAATATTCAAGCTATGTGCTTGTGGCTCATACCTAGAATCGTACTCAAGAGGGTAAGATTTGAGGATCATGGATAGAAGTCAGCCCTAACAGGAAAGTCTATGAAACTCTTATCTCCAATTAGCCACTAAAAAGCTGGAAATGAGCTGTGGCTCAAGTGGTAGAGCACTAGCCTTGAGTGGAAAAAAGCTAAAGGGCACAACCCAGGCCCTCAAATTAACAAAAGCAAATCCACACTTTAAAAGATAGTCACAAGAGAAGGGATGAGTTAGGAGCGATGGGTGACAATGTTGTCATACACCTTGTATTCATATACTGTTTTGTAGAATGGGAACTTCTTTGTATAACTACTTAAAGATTTTTTTTTTTTAAAGAAATAAAAAAAAAAAAGATAGTCACAAAACGTAACCTTTAGTGCAAGTGAAAGTGAGAACAACTAACAAAATCTATCATAAACTTAAATAAACTTTTTTTTTTTTTTTGTCAGTGGTGGTGCTTGAAACGCTAGGTGGGCCTGGGGCTGTCCCTCAGCTCTTCAGCTCAAGAGCCACAGCACCACTTTCCATTTTCTGGTGGCTAATTGGAAATGAGTCTGGTGGACTTCCCTGTCCCAGCTGGCTGTGAAACACAATCCTCAGATCTCAGCCTCCTGTGTAGCTAAGATTACAGGTGTGAGGCACCGGCGCCCAGCTTATACTTTTTGTTTTTTTGGCCAGTTATGGGCTTGATTGCTGGGCCTGGGCACTATCCCTCAACTCTTCAGCTCAAGGCTAGTGCTTTTTCACTTGAGCCACATCACCACTTCCGGTTTTCTAAGCGTTTATTGGAGGTAAGAGTCTCATGGACTTTTGCTGCCCGGGCTGGCTTTGAACCATGATCCTCAGATCTCAGCCTCCTAAGTAGCTAGGATTACAGGTGTGAACCACCAGCACTCGTAAACTTAACTTTTGACTTGCTTCTACAAACTGATTTTACAGATCAAAAGATCACTGATGGCTGGGAATGTGGCTTAGTGGTAGAGTGCTTGCCTAACATGCATCAAGCCCTGGGTTCAATTCCTCAGTACCACATATACAGAAAAACCCCAGCCAGGCACTGGTGGCTCATACCTGTAATCTTAGCTACTCAGGAGGCTGAGATCTGAGGATCGAGGTTCAAAGCCAGCCCAGGTAGGGAAGTCACTGAGACTCTTATCTCCAATTAACCACCAGAAAACCGGAAGCAGTGCTGTGGTTCAAGTTGTGGCAGAGCGCCAGCCTTCAGCTGAAAAGCTGAGGGATGGCGCCCAGGACCAGAGTTCAAACCCAATGACAAAACAAAAACAAAAAGCCAGAACTGGCACTGTGGCTCCTGGTAGAGTGCTAGCCTCGAGCAAAAGAAGCTCAGAGTCAGTGCCCAGGCCCTGAGTTCAAGCCCCAGGACTGGGGGGCAGGGGGAGGGAAGGGACGGGGAAAGTTAATTGATAAACATATATTTCACAGTACAGTTTGATATGTAGTAGTGAAATTAATAATTGAATAGTATGTAGGCTATAAAAAGAACAAAGTCATCTATGTACTGATAAAATGGCTATATTTGCCAGAAGGAAAAATAAGCCAGAGTATACCCATTCCACCAATACGTAAAATATGTACAGCAGATATATTTTTGGGGGGGGGGGTGTCCGGTCGTGGGGCCTGAACTCTGGGCCTGGGCGCCGTCCCTCAGCTCTTCAGCTCAAGGCTAGCGCTCTACCACTTGAGCCACAGCGCCACTTCCGGCTTTTTTTTTTCTTTTTTCTTATGTGGTGCTGAGTAATCGAACCCAAGGCCTTGAGCATGCAAGGCAAGCGCTCTACCACTGAGCCACCTTCCCAGCCCCAACAGATATCTTTTTATATGAAAAGATATTAACAAATATCCTATAACTGTTAATGTGTATAACTTTTGATAGTGGTTACTGCCTGATAATAGAACTGGAGAGAAAATTCACGGGGATGCAGAAAAATCTACCTTATTTTGCTTTTTTATGTTTTCGGACTGTTTTATTTTTTTTTAACATTATGAGCGATAGACAAATATGTAGTGTACCTTGCTAACAATACGAAAAAGCGATAAAACTCTAACCAATTAAACAGCACTTCGGTTTTTGGTGGGGAAATTTCGTTTTTCATCCTAACCTTGCTATCTGGAATTTGATCTTCATTCTGATTCCAAAGCCATTTGAGACTATTACTGAACCAGTGATTACTGACAAACTACCCCCACCATGCTAAGCCAGAGACATAAACAGCAGTGCACAAGCCCAGATGTGTTCTTTACACACACTTCACGGAGGAAAACGGAACATAGGCGCACGCGTAAAACAAGTCCAATGAGTAAGTAGCGCTATGAAAGCAAAGCCTCAGTTCCCTCAAGTGTGCAACACACCGATTCACTCACACGTGCTAACACCTGAAAGCATTACTGCTTCTGAATTGTTCAGTCTGTCCTCTGGAGGGTCGTGTTCGGGGCTACGTCTCAAATGACTCCTTTATCCAACTCAGTACGGGGAAACTGAAAACCATCTGTCAGCCGAGCGACCCCGGGCCAGGTCCGGAACGGCCTCGGTGAACGGGGAGGGAGGGGTGGGCGTCCGGCTCGCGGTCTCCGCGGAGGGCTGCGGCCGGGAAGCCGGGCGCCCGCTCCGGCGCCGGGGTCGCGGGCTGCGCCGCAGGGCGGCCCTCGGGCCGACAAGCGCGCCGTCCACAGCTTTCTCAGCCCGGCCGTTCGGCTCGCCTGCCTCCCTTTTCGGGCTGGTGGCGGGCAGCGCCAGCCGGCTGATCCAGCGGCCGCCGGCGTGCCAAGCCCCGCAGGGCGCCACCTAGCCGGCGCACCTTCTCTCTCCACCGGGCCGACACGAAGGCCGCCCAGCGCTGGATACTCAAGTCACTCCCGGCGCCCTAGAGGACTTGGCTCACAGGACAGCGGCAGTACGGCCTCGCCTCCGAAGGCGACTGTTAGTTTGAATTCTGGCGCCACTCCCGCGCCACGTAGGGCCCAGGAGCCCGCCAGACTCGGAAGCCACGGACGGCCGGCGAGCGCGTGCCTGAGAATGGAGGGGCGGGCCAGCGGCGCGCGCGCCACGCCCCGGAACGTCCGCAAAGAAAAGACCTACCGCGCGCGCTCCCGTTGGGACGTCTCATGAGATAGCTCCTCCCTCTCTTCTTCCCGCGTCCAATAGGAAGAGAGAGGGTGGGGCGGCCTCGGTCCGATTCGGAAGAGGCTATAAAAGGAGCTGCAGGGGGCGTCCCTCCTCCTTTTACTTCGGACTTGGAGCTGCGGCGCTTCGGTCTTTGCTACTGGTGAAGCCAGGATTCAAGCGCAAGATGGGGGTACGCGACGTAGTTGAGGCCTTCCGCCCTTGGGAGCGACCTTGGAGAGTTCAGCCCAGAGTAATAACTGTGAGAACCTTGTGTGTGGGGACCGAAGATGGACGGCCTTTCACATAGAGCTGGAGTCGGAAGTGGCGACTGGCCTGGAGCTCACGCACAAGGAGGTAGGCCTCGGGCGCCATGCTGGATTGTGGCCGTCGGCTGCCCCCCCCCCCCACGCTTCAACTAGAGATTGGGTTGGAAGGTCAGTTAATGAGCAAGGCAGGCCGACGTGGCAAGCGTCGTTTTCCTATCTTATTTCATAATGAGGTAGCCGACATTAAGGGGCTGCTTTGTTCCTCAGAAAACTATTGGTTTTGAGAATGGGAGGGGCCTGGTGCTGAAAAGCCACGTGACATGGTGACTGATCTCAATTGTTCGTTTCCCTCCGTGCAGGAACAATGGCGCTGTGTTTCAGTGATTTATCGCATCCGTTACGAAAGGAAATTCAAGGTAAGAGCTGTTGAAATCCTAGTGTTTGAAATGAAGTAATCTACTTATATACATGAGGAAATCTTTGTTCATTTGTTTTTCTGTCTACAGTGAGGGTGCCCATACACTGAGACAGTTGCTCCTGAGTTCCTGAGATACTAAAACACTTGTAAGTGGAAACTACTTAACAATTACCAGATACTGTGTCTTTGGTCTATAATGATGATGCTATCCCGAACCTGAATTCCTGTTGAAAAAAAAAACTACGGATCTGGCTTCTGAGATAGACCATTGTGAATTTATTTTTAAATGAGATGTTTTTACTACTGATAATTTTGTAATTCTTTTCTCTTTATTTTCTAGGGGCAATAGCAGGATTCTAGAAAGAAAAGTTGGTAAAGATATCCAGACAAGACAAATTGGAAAGAAAACTTAAAATTTTGAAAAATACAAGTATTAAGTCTCTGCGTTTGTAATACGTAATTATGATTAAACTTAATTTTGTGCCAACTTGGAAGAATCTAGTAATTTCGTAGATTCCATGGAATACTCAGTTAAGAAGGGCACTGAAATGAAGCTACGTCACCTGTTAAACAGGGAGATTGGAAAAAGGTGTCTGTGGTTGAGCGTGATTATTCCATTTGACATAACTAGAAATCAGCAAGGTTCATTATGCTGTCTTGGCCATAACACAGCAGTAACCCTGGTACCTTTTGATCAGATCTACATAGGGATTAATTGATATATTACTTGATATCTTGCTAATTACAAGTGTGTAACACCAGTGGCAATGCTGATTTTTATGTTTGTACAATTCTAAGACTTGGGTGGGTTTGTATTGTGCTAACTGTTCAAGCCTTCTGTACAATTATTTCTTCAGCTTTATTTCTACTTGTTCAAGTTAATTTTTTTTTTGGTCAGTTGTGGGCCTGAATTCAGCCTGGGCACTGTCCCTCAGCTCTTCAGCTCAAGTCTAGCGCTGTACCACTTGAGCCTCAGCCCCAATTCCGTTTTTTTTTCTGCTTATGTGGTGCTGAGGAATCAAACCCAGTGCTTCGTGCATGCAAGGCAAGTACTCTACCACTGAGCCACCTTCCTGCAAAGATTGATCTAAGGGCTTCAGTCATAATAGTACCTTACAACGTTCTTTTGTTATACACTTGGCACATTACTGCTTTTGCTCCATCTTGTGGAGTTTGAATTTGTCTCATGTCCATATTTGTGTTCCAATGACATGCTAAATTCTTTTTTTGGGGGGGGGGGGGTCCGGTCGTGGGGCCTGAACTCTGGGCCTGGGCGCTATCCCTCAGCTCAAGGCTAGCACTCTGCTACTTGAGCCACAGCGACACATACGGCTTTTTTCTTTTGGCATCGAACCCAGGGCCTCATGCATGCAAGGCAAATGCTCTACCACTGAGCCACCTTCACAGCCCTGACATGCTAAATTCTTAGTGCCACCACATAGTAGCTGTTTTAGGGACCTTATTAAAGAATCAAATTCTTGGGATTTCATAATAGCATCTTTAAGGGAAATTAAGGAAAGTGACTCAGCATGTATTATAATGACATTTATGGGATGATGATTCATTGTAGATAATTGATAAACTAGTTACCTAAGCCAAAAATGGGTTTGAGGGAGCTAGGCATATAGGTGAATGGCTTCCCAAGTCTATGCAGATGCAGTATCTTGACCCTACAAATAGAAATTTTGGGGCTGGGAATAACAGTTCAAGGGCATCTACAATAATGAGTAACTTCACTTAGGAAGTGAGGACTATTAGCTAGAATTGGGCCAGACAGGTATAACATCTAAATGTTTATATCACGCATAAGACTTTGGAGGAAAATGGTATTACCTGCCCTTCTCTCAAAGCTGGTAAAGACTTAGCATGGTGAAATACTTAAAACGCTGACCTCTTCACTAGTTGCTTCTGTTTTTTTTTTCCCCTCTCAGTAGTTTTTGTCTTGTTTGAGTCTCTAGGCCAACCAGCCTCCAATTCAGTGCTCCAGCCTCCACTTCCTATGTGAATGCTGAGGTGTTTCAGGCATGAAGTGTCATGTTAGTCTTGATATGAACCAAATTAGTACTGTGCATTTTGATGACTTCTGCAGTACTAATCTCTGTTAAGGAGGATAGAGGTGGAAAAATCAAAGGCTAAATACATTGAACTAAAATATTTTCTGCCTAGAGTTGGAAAAGTTACTTTGAGTCAAGACCAACTCAGGTAGAGAAAAGAAACATTTTGAATATGCTTAGTATTATCTTGAACCTGTGTGATATATTTGGGTGCCAACAAGGACAGATGTGGAACAAATAAGTTTATAAGCAAGGAAGTTTGAATTTTTGCAAAAGACTACTAAATCACCATTCATTGATAGGCTAGACACTATTTCTAGTTTACCAATGTTTAGTGTGCAGTAAATAACGTGTATATATACCTATCAGGCTCTAAACAGCTTTTTGTACTCTAGGCTGATGCTCTACAACTTGAGCCACTGTGCCACTTCCTGTTTTCTTAGTGGCTATCAAAAAGCTGGAAGTGGGCTGGGCATCGGTGGCTCACACCTATAATCCTAGCTACTCAAGAGGCTGAGACTTACCTAACCACCAGGAAACCAGAAGTGGGACTGGCTCAAGTGGTAGAGTGCTCTCTTTGAGCTGAAGAGCTCAGGAACAGCACCCAGGCCCTGAGTTAAAATGCACAACGACAAAAAGCTGCAAGTGGAGTTAATGGGTAGAAAGGACATGTTAGCTTTGAGCCAAACCTCAGAGACAGCTGAGGTCTGAGTTCTAGCCCCAGTATCTTCACAAAAAGAATTTACCCCTCAGAACCTAACAATTTAGAAGAGAACTCAGATTCCTAAGTCTTAAAGACATTGGTTTTAGAAATTAAAGGCAAAATGTGCACATCTGGGTTTAGTAATATTAGCCAATAGGAATTATTTTCCTCTTGCCTTTAATACTTTCAGGTAATATAAAAATACTGTAGGCCCAAATCTACCATTTCTAAAATTAGTCCTATTGCTAGGAATTAAACATGAACCACAGTTGACTTCAGACTAGTCCTCTGAACTGATTAATATTCTTCATAAATCCAGCTACTTGGCCAGTGTGTGTGAAAAAGGTTTTGGCTCATTCCATGGCTTTTTTCACCATTTTCCAGTTAAGATTTGTGAGACTTCATTTGAATCTAAGCCTTCCCTTTTGCCAGTCCCCTTTTCCCTGGCACTCAACATCCTTTTCATCTTTCCTCCCTAAGATTAGTACTTAAAGCTTGGCACCAATGGCACACACTATTAATCCTAGTTACTTGGAAAGCTGACATCTGAGGATCTCCGTTTGAAGCCTGCCACAAGTCTGTAACTTGTCTTCATTAAGTTAGTTGGAGCTGTGGCTCAAGTGATGCAGAGCTAGCCTTGAGCCCAAAAGTTCAGGGACAGCACCCAGACCCTGACTTCAAGCCCCAGGACTAGCATAAAAGATTCTTAAATATGTAACTGTAACCCTCTGTATAGTATCTTTGCAAAGAAATATTAAAAAAAAAAGATTCTTAAATAGAGCACTGTTGGCTCATGCCCGTAATCTTAACTACTCAGAAGGCTGAGATGTGAGGATTGGGAGTCAAAACCAACCTGGGAAGATAGATCCATGAGACTTTTTTTTGGTCAGTTGGGCTCCCACACTATCCTTGAGCCTGTTTGTGCTCAAGGCTATTGGTCTACCACTTGAACCACAGTGCCACTTCCAGTTTTTGAGTGGGGAATGGAGGTAGTTTCATGGGGACTTTTCAGCTGCCTTTGAAGCACAATCCTCCGATCTTAGCCTCCTGAGTAGCAAGAATTACCATGTGTTACTAGGGCCTGGCTTCCATGAAACTTCTAATTAATCAGCGAAAGTCTGCAGTAGCTTAAGTGGTATAGGGTCATCACTGAATAGAAAGTTCAAGTTCCTATACTTATATTTGACAATGTACAGAGAACAGTCCAAGTTTGTGAAGACTTAGAAGTTTTAGTGACCACATTGGGGTTGGGGAAGAGGGTAACTTTAAGGGCCAGAATCCTTTGTCTCTGAGTTCTGACTTTACTCTTCTTGGTAGTAGTCCACTGCTGAGGTGCTAGAGTGCCACATAATTGGGTCTGGGAAATTAATCTTAGAATCCTGTTATGGTTGGAATTTTTTTTTTAGCTGCTGTGAAGTGAATAGCACACTACCATCCATGTTCCCCATCATGATCTGACTTGCTACAGGACCACAGCAGTAGGTTAAATGAGCATGAATTAAAATCTCTGAATCCATAGCTAAAATAAACCTTTCCTAGCAAAGTGCTTGTGGCTCATGCCTGAAGTCCTAGCTATTCAGGAGGCTAAAATCCAGAAGACAGTTTGAGGCCAATCTGCAGAAAAGTTACTATACTCCATTTCCAAAATAACCAGCCAGAAATAGAGCTGGAAGTGTACTTCAAATGATAGAGCACCAACCTAGCAATTAAGCCCTGATTTCAAACTTCACTTTCACCAAAAAAGACTTTTTTCCTTCTTTGAATTCATCTATCTCTCAAGTATTTTGTCAATGACAGAAAACTGAATAAAATCAAGCACAGTACAATCTTTTATCTTGCTATGATTCCAGCTCTCTAAAAGACCTGTGAATAATGGAAAAGGCATTTCAGAGTACATATAAAATTTTTACTTAGAATAATAACATAAAAACTACTTTCAGGGCTGAGGAGGTGGCTCAGTGGTAGAGCGCTTGCCTTGCATGCCTGAGGCCCTGGGTTCCACTCCTCAGCGCCACATAAGCAGAAAAAAAAAGCCGGAAGTGGCACTGTGGCTCAAGTGGTAGAGTGCTAGCCTTGAGCTGAAGAGCTGAGGGATAGCACCCAGGCCCAGAGTTCACCCACGACCGGACCCCCCACCCAAAAAAAAAAAAATACTTTCAGGGATCATTTACATAGTTCATTATAAAAGAAATTTCAGGGGCTGGGAAGGTGGCTCAGTGCTTGCCTTGCATGCATGAGGCCCTGGGTTCGATTCCTCAGCACCACATAAGCAGAAAAAAAAAAGCCAGAAGTGGGCACTGTGACTTAAGTGGTAGAGGGCTAGCCTTGAGCTGAAGAGCTGAGGGACAGTACCCAGGCCCAGAGTTCAGGCCCCACAACTGACCAAAAAAAAAAAAATTCAACTCTTGATCTTAAAGAGCCAGTGGCTCAGACTTGTAACCCAGCTACTCAGGAAGCTGAGATCTAAGGATTGTGTTTAAAAGCCTACCGGAGCAGAAAAGACCATGAGATTTTTTTATCCCCAATTAACCACTCAAAAAAGCTGGAAGTGGGGCTGAGGCTCAAGTGATAGAGCACTAGCCTTGAGCACAAGGAAAGCCCCTGCACATAAACACAAAACACAGGAAAAAATCTGGCTAATACAATGCTAATCTAATCTGTGAATTCATGATGCTCTTTAAAAAAAAAATGAATTTGGAGGCTGGGAAGGTGGCTCAGTGGTAGAGTGCT